ATTCCTTGGCTGGTGAATGGAGTACTAGACGCAGCCTCAGGACACTGGTCACCTCTCCCTGTCCTCCTCAGAGCCTGCAGAAGCCGCTGCCAATGGGAACTGTCCCAGCGCCAGGCACTTGCAGCCAGGCTGCTAGAGGAGAGAGAGAGGTGCCGCCCTGGGATGTGTCTCCTAGGTTTCTTTTGTTCCCCATTTGTCAGTGGGGAGACGGGTGGGGTGGGAGGTCTCTATGTGCCTTTCCTTTGCAGGTTGACAGTCTGTGCCACACTGGAGCAGTGAGACGGACATGAGCCGGAAAAAACCAAGTGCACCTCTGTCTTGGGCCCGTCTCAGACAGCACCTAGTAAGTCCCATACACACCTGGGAGTCCCCGAGGCTTCTCAGGCCAAGGCCAGATAGCGTTAGGAGGAGCCGGGCTTCCCCCCTGGCTCTGAGTGAGCGAGCCCGTTCTGCCCTTGCACATCCACTTGGCCTAGAGCCCTAGACTGTATGGACACGACCTGTGTTCACCTCGGTACTTCTCCCTTCCTGGGACAGGGCCCCTAATGCCCCGTCTTCTTGCTTTAGGAGTGGGTGAGTGATGCCGTGTGCCCTTGTCCAAACGTGTTTAGGGAAGTGCTGCTGGACGAGCTTGCAAACTCCCAGTGAGTCCACAGAGCCCTGTTTGCCAGCACCCGTGCAGTGTAGCCGAGTCAGCGATGTGGTAGCCACGCATCCTGCAGGCTGAAGTTGACATGGGCACACTGTGGTATCACCAACTTTACAATTACGACTTCAAGTTTGCCCGTTAGCGGCAGGGCATTTTATGGACCAGCAGCAGGATTTGGGACATTGGTGTCTGGGAAGGGAGAATTGGAGGAAATGGAGACCTGGGTTCCTTCCTCGTCCTGGGAATGTGGGAGAGAAGCTGCTCTGAGGCCAACCTGTCTATCCCTGAAGTTCTCGGCATGCCCTCTGGTTAGGGCCTTTCCCCGCCGCAAAATGGGTCCCCACTGCGAACTTGCCGTTGCTTGCCTAAAGTCGCTAGAAGGGTTCTAGCCATGCTCAGGCACACGTGTCTTACCTCTGTCCTCCCCATTGGCTAGCAAGCGGCAGCGCTGTCAGTGGTCCTCGGAGCCTGTGGGACCCGCCAATGATAGGGGATGTGAGTCAGCTGCTGGCACACGGCCTGCCCCGAGCGTCTGATTCTGGTGGGCCCTGGTACAATTCCTAAGTTTGGGGACTTCCCTCCGAAGTGGCAGGGAGTTCTAGTTAACCATAACTTACTCTACTCTGGTGTAGTGTCATTAATGTGGGAAAGAGGAGAAATCTCAGGTCCACTTGGGGTTTCACCCATCAGTTTTTCACCGAGACTTTGAACTATGGGTTTTCTCATCTTTTAGTTTACAGCTGTGTTTGCTTTCCCACCCACCTTCCCCATCTCTGTCCTTTGGCCTCCTTCCCAGCTTCATTTCTTCATACCTCATCACCTTTTAAACCAGATTATGTCCACTTTTCCTTACTGACCTTGCTCTGAGAGCTACAGCTGAGGGAGGTACAGTGGAAAGACATGTAGCGTTTGCCTTATTGGAGCCTGAAAAGCTCAGAAACTCATGCTGTGAATCCCAAAGCTCTGCGCTCCTCCAAGAGCTGTGAAATCATGACACTTTGTCACATTTTTGCCTGAAAGAGCCTTGAGTGGGTGCCAGAGCCAACCTGAGGTCAATTCCAGATCCCATCCTCCAGGCACGACCCCCCGTCCCCCACGGCCCCGTCCCTGCCCGCCAGGCCAGGAGCTGCACCAAGGATGCAGGGCTGGGGCGGGTCCTCGAGCTTTGGGCAGCCTCGTGGCACACGGAGCCCGCGGTCGTCTCCAGGCCAGAATGCCACCTCACAGTCCCATGTGCATCAGCGTCCGCAAGAGACCAACTTTCGGCCGTGGTCCTTTTCTCCCGCTCCCGCGGTGGGAGGGTGGATGCAGTTGGTGCTTTTAAAATTCTCCTGTTTTGTTTCTGTAAGCTTTTCCCCTGGTATCATGGAAAGGACCTCCTCATCACCACCTTGTGGGTGGCTGTATCCAAAGTCTAAATAATTGGCCAGATAATGTGGAGCAACCTTTCCTGAACTCATGGGAGGGAAGGCTCCTGCACCACAACTGAACTTCTTACATAAAAGGCTGGCTGGGGAGGAAGGCTCCGTTTTACCACAATCAAATGTAATGGTCTCCAACCACAGATGGAGCAGCAAAGGCTATTCGACGGTAAAGTGAGGGCCCCCGAGTAGTCCACCATCCAGCACAGCATAGTCCGATCTGATGCTTGTTCATTGTGTGTCTTCACGAGTCCCTCTCTGGTGCTGAATTGGATTTGAATTTTGGTGAGAGGTCTCCGCATCTCCTTGGGCTGGGCTGGGCTGGCCAGTAAGTAGCTGCCTGACGTGTTTATATATTATCACGATCAATAGTTCAGTGAGATTTTGTACATTTTTTGGTAACATTGGCATACATGATGCCCCTGCAGCTCCTGTTCTGTTTGGTAGTTTGTGCCTCTAAAATTCCCACTGTTATGTGTGTTAATTTATGAAAATAAAGAATTTTTGAAACCTTTCAAGTAACTCTCCAGGCTGTTATTTTATTCTTATGGCTTGGCATTAATAAGTTAAAATTCTGCCTGTAATGTCATGAGGCTGTTTTTTTAAAATAGACATCACAAAGTTATCATCAGAACAGGCATCAGACCTTCCAAAGCGGCCACCAGGTCCCAAGGACAGTCCTGTGCTCAGGACATGTGGCACTCCGCCTTCACCGGCCTTCCGTGCTACCATGAAGCTTTTCTTCCTTCCCTTCTCTTTGTTCCTTTTTTTGTTGTTAATTCTCATCTGAGAATATTGTTTCCATTGATTTTTTAAAATTGATTTTAGAGAGGAAGAGAGAGAAACATCAGTGATGAGAAAGAATCATTGATGGACTGCCTCCTGCACGCGCTCTACTGGGGATCGAACCCACAACCCGGCATGTGCCCTTGCACTTGTTCGGTTTCACCATTACTTGAGGAGTATTCTACACTTTTCCTCTGTTTAGAAGGTAGAGGCTAGTTATCAATTAAGGTGGTGTTATTCCTTTAACATCTTCCATCTCAGAATCTTAGCATTGGTAGGTCCTCCTGAGAATAAGAGGACTAGTCCAAACTGTTTTTAAGAATTCTCTCAACTCCTGGACCTGGACAACAGTGTGTGACTGTGGGGGTTGATAACAGGGCATAGAGGGGATAAATGGTGATGGGAAAAATTAAATTAAAAAATGATGGTCTTAAAAAAAGAAAAGGTCTCTGGTGTCCTGCCCTCTGCTAATATGGAGACCTCGTTTCTGCAGTTCCTTTTGGGACTTCTCTTGAGAAGTGTTCTAGAAAATTCTTCAAGCAACTTCCAGGGGTCATAGGTAAGTTTTTCATAACCTCAAATTCCAGTGTCTTCTCCCTCCTCACTGACAGTTGATAACTTTGCATTTCACTGAGATAGAACCTATTTGAATAGAACTTGCACACGGAACCTTTGCAGTTACTTGAACAGACTATTGTTAAATATAATTTTTAACCAATTTTTTTTTTAATGGAGAAAAGGGTCCATTAAGGCAAACAAAGGGGCCACAAACGCAGTAATGCAGCTCAGCCCCCACCATTCAGTTTGCAAAATCACAGGGATTGCATGCTGGTTCTTAAATGTTAGGCTAATTCTGCCCCTAGTGGCAGTAGGGACATTTCCGAAGAAAGCAATGCCCAGGAGCTGTTGGTCATTCGTCATGGCAAAAAGGGCAAATCCAGCCTGGCCTGGGTGGCTCCGTGGTTGAGCATCCACCTGTGAACCAGGAGGTCACTTTTCGATTCCCGGTCAGGGCACCTGCCTGGGTTGCAGGCTCGATCCCCAGTGATTCTTTCTCATCATTGATGTTTCTCTCTCCGTCTCCATTCCTCTCTGAAATATATTAAAAAAAAGAAAAAGGGCAAATCCAGCAGGAAGATATAACAATCTCGAATTCTCATAAACATTAAAATGTTAAATAAAATTTGTCAGAACTGAAAGGAAAAATTCATAACTACACATGGAGATATGAACATCTCTGCCTCCACTGGCCACGCTGCTCCCCCGCCCGGGTTTAGGACAGCGGGAGCGAGTACCTCCCACACCTGCCCAACCCGGCTTGGGGGCGGCCGGAAGCCCCTCGCTGGTGGGGCGGGGAGGCCTGGGGGCGGGGCTCAGTCGACTCCGCCCACAACCCCTCCGCGTTCCTCATTGGCTCCGTGAACTCGAGGCTCGTGACGCCACATGCGTGCGCCGCTCGTGCGGAAGGGGGCGTGGCCCAGTGGGAAGGAGGAGGCAAGATGGCGGCTTCCGTGGGGCAGCGGTGCCTGAGGTTGCTGCGTGAGGTCGCGCCCTGGCGGAGCAGGTACCGTGCTTGGAGGGGGGCGGCCTGGGCCCAGCCGGGGTCGGGAGAGAGGAGTCGTGTTTAGTCGCCGGCTCGCCCCGGGGCCGCTCCGGGGGCGACGGGGTCACCCTCCTTCACCTCGAGCCTGGGAGCAGGTGCGGCAGCCGCCGCGTAGGGCGGCCCGGGTTTAGTCCGGGTCTTGCTAAGCGCCCGGGCTTTGCCTCGCCAGCTACACGTGCACAGGGACAAGGGAAAGGAAGGGGAAAGGCCAGAGGGAGGAAGCCGTGCCGCCCTGGAGTCGAGGCGGGACTGGCGCCTCTCGGGGGTTCGTGTTCCTGGAGGGGACGGGCGCTGTGGCGTGGGGGGAGCACTGGACTGGGAGTCCTCGGGCGGCTTTCACTTCGGAGTCTGGTTCTTGGCAGCGAGGGGTTTGAGGCCCGTAACCTCCAGGTAGGATGGACCTGGGGTCCCGTTTACCGGGGCGACTCCCACCTCGGAGGTGCTGGGAGCTGGAGGACGCCCCGAGGCGCCGTCTACGCCCGGCTCTTCCTCGGTTTGGCGAAAGGGAGGCCCCGGGAGAGAGGCCTCGCTCGTGTTCACCCAGCCAGTTAGTAGCAGAGCCAGGTGTCTGTCTGTCTGTCTGTCTCTCTCTCCCTCTTCCTCTCTGAGGACCTCAGGCTGCCCGCCGTGTGAGCATTTATTATTATTATTATTATTATCATCATCATCATCATCCCCCATAGCTCGGGAACAGTGGGGCTCTCGGAAGATGCATGAGTGTTGGCAGCTGTGACTCAGGGTCAGCCGCTTGGTGTGGTTTCTAAAAAGGGAGGTTTGGACGCTGGGAAACACGTGTGTTTCCGGCCGGGTTCCTCTCAGAGGCGTTGCCCAAAGCCACCCCTCGCGGTACCTTTGGGAAGTTAGAGACACGGAATTTGCTCTGAGAGGGGAGCAGAGCTGTCCTCGGCCTGGACGCGAAAGCTTCCCTCTCCCTATCGACTGTGCAGAGGCAGCAGGTCGCTCAGGAGGGGCCTCTGCCATTGGGTGGTAACTGGTGGGATCTGGGCAGGTGGGGCTCTGTGGTTTCAGTGTTATTACCAGGTGTGCTGCTTGCATCAGCCATGAATTCTTTTAAACTGTGTCATGAGTTGGGAAGACTAAAAAGTGACATTCCTAAAATATTTTTTAAATGAGGAGGAGGAGGATTTACTCATTGTCATTAAAAAACGGGGAAGTCGCCCGTGGTTGAGCGTCAACCTATGAGCCAGGAGGTCACGGTTCGATTCCCAATCAGGGCACATGCCCGGGTTGCAGCCTCGATCTCCAATGTGGGGCCTGCAGGAGGCAGCCGGTCAGTGATTCTCTCTCATCATTGATCTCTTTCTCTCTCTCTCTCTCTCTCTCTCTCTCTCTCTCTCTTTCTTTCTCTCTCCTTCCCTTCTTCCCTCCCTTTCCCTTCCTCTCTAAAATCAATAAAAATACATATTTTTTTAAAGGGTGGGGTGGAGTTACACTTTTAGTACCAATGTAAGTACGAAAGACTAGATTTAGGTGCAGTGATTGGGAAGGATAAGGACTTGGGTACAATAAGAAGTCTCAATATTTAAAGGTATTACATATCAAGACAGAAGGAAACTATATTGATACAAAAACCTAAAAGGTAACATTTTCTTGAGTTTTCAGTAAAGCAGCCTCTGAGAGACACACAGGTGAAAGCCCCATATCGCAGGGAAGTTTTTAGTAACTGGGTGATGTGCGACAGGTGATAGAACACGGAGAGAGCAACATCTCGGCTGACAATTTGGGGCCGTGTTTGATAAAAGAATGGGGGGAGATATGTATTAGAAATAGAGATCCCCATCCTGCTGCCAATTCAGGCTCAGTCGGTGGAGGCTGGGGCTCTAAGTGCCCCCGATCATTCTCAGGTTCGGGCAAGTATGGACATGGTGCTCAGGGAGTGGTTGGTTGTGTAAGACTTGCATTTACCAGTATATGTGGTGCCAGGGACTATGGAAGAGTAGGCCTTTACAGTTCAGTAGGAGAGAGAAAACACCTAGGAAATTATATAAGATAGAATATGAAATGAGGCTGTCAGAGGCCTGCCAGGTCATTTTCAGAACTTTCACAGCTTTAGAAGCAGGAGAGAGAGAACAGCTCTAGTTACAATGTTGTCACCAGAGGTGATGTTAACATTGATGCCGTAACATTGTTGAATCCAGAGACTGTATTCAAAATTTGCCAATTGATCTAATTGTTTTAATTATAAAAACAATGTCTAATGGTTCATTTTTGCTTGATTGCAGCCTCCATCACCGTGAAAACACTGCCCTGAGCCACTTCCCACAGCCCTCGCGGAAGCTGCCTCTCAGAGCCTTCTCTAAAAGTAAGTAGCCATCAGAGGTGGTGGCCTCTCTGGGCTTCGGGCTGCTCATCAGATAATTGGGATGCACGTGGCACCTGTTCCTCAGGGTTGTGGTTAGAATCCAAGGACATGTGCCTGTGAGGTCCCCACATGCCCGGCATGTGGTCTCACGGAAGCAGTAGCTGTTGTTCTCTCCCTGTTTTACCGGCTGCCTACAGTCTGTTGTGTGACCTTTTCCTACTGTAGGTGGCGCTATAGTAACATCTCTGCATCTTCAGGATATATCGGTAAAGGTCGGACTGCTGAGTCAGGTTTATGTATTTTACAGTTGGGTATTTACGCCAGTTGCTCCTCACAGAGGGTAAACCAGTTTCCCCTCACACAGCAGGGCACGCCGTGGTACATTAGTTCCCCACCCCCACACTGTGGGTTAGGAACTTTTTTGATCTTGAAGCAGCTATGTGAACCCTTTTGAAAATGTGTATTGTCCTTATTATCTAAATACCCTTTTTATTCATCATACCAAGAGCTATTTTTAACTGCCCAATAAGAGCACCTTGGAGTAGAATGATTTGGTTAGTGAGAACAGAAGCAAAGGCTTATTGTAGTTAACAGTGGCACCTGGGTGTTATTGAATTGGCCTGCGTGCTGGAACACACAGGAACCACATGGAAGATGGAGGTGGGGAACCTCCTGCATTAAGCTGTGCTTTTAGGAAGTGGCAAACCCAGTGGAGCTGTGGTCAGGAGGGGCGAGGGCTCGTATTCACTGCTTCCTTTTGGAAGAGTAAAGCAAGCCTTTGAGAGGCAAGAGAAAGAGGCCCGTCATCGGAGAAATACGCGCCGGCATTAGGTTGAGTGGGACCAGTCAGTCCAGGATGTGGCCTAGTGCAGGGAGGATACAAGTTTTCTCATCACCAAATATTCCAGAAAGAGAAAAAAGTGTTCTTGCTTTTTGACACATCTTTCTTGGTCGTCAGAGGTAGAGTATTTAGTTATTAAGTAGTAAGGGTCCACGAGGGATCATTAGAGGGTGGAAGAGATTAATGACACCCTCGCTTACTCATTGAAAAAAGGAACAGCAGCAACTAGAACCCGCTGGAGGGAGGCGATGCCGGGAGCAGGGCGCTCCTTCCTTGGAGTCGGGCCTACGAAGGGTGTGCTCTGGTTCTGCACAGGCGACTGGGAAGTCAGCTCTAGAGATTTTGTTTTAATAACAGTTGTATTGATCAATAATTCACATACCATAAATTCACCCTTTTAAGTATGCGTTTCCGTGTTCTTTAGTATATTTTCAGGGTTGTGCAACTGTCACCACTGTCTACTTTCAGGGCATTTTCATTTCCTCCTTGCCCTCCCATGAAAAACACTCCACCCATTAAACTGTCCCTCCCCATTTCTCCCTCCCCCCCTTCCCCAGGCAATCACTAATCACTTATAGTACGTTTCCTATACTGGGTATCTATAATAATAATCTATAATAATAAAAGTGTAATATGCTAATTAGACTGGACAGCCGAATGACCTTCCGGACGTCCTTCTGGATGAAGCCGTGGCTGCTGCCGCTGCGGCTGCAAGGGCCAAGCCCCTTGCAGGAATTTCGTGGATCGGGCCTCTAGTTTCATATGAATGGAATCACACAGTATACAGCTTTTTGTGGCTGGTTCTTTCATGTAATGTTTTTAGGTTCATGTTGTAGCGTTTGTCAGTACTTCATTCCTTTTCATTATCACATAATGTCCCACTGAATGGATAACCACATTTTGTTTATCCAGTCTCCGTTGGGGGTCATTGGGAGTGGGTTTTTTTGGCCTGTTTCGAATCATGCTTCTGTTGAACATTCTTGTATAAGTTTTTGCGTAGATGTATTTTCACTTTTTTGAGGCACAAATGGTTTTCCAAGTGGCTGCCTCGTTCTGCAGTCCCACCCGTCGTGTGAGTGTTCAGTTCCCCCCGTCCTGGCAGCACCTAGTGTTTTATTATAACCGTCCTCGTGGCGGGAGGTGGGAGCTCCTGTGGCTTGAGTTGATTTCCCTAATGACTAGTGACGTTGTCTTGACTGGTTAGGCCGCTCTAATGAAGTGTCACACACCAAGTGGCTTAAACAATAGAATTAATTTTTTGAGGTTCTGGAGACTAGAAGTCCGAGATGAGGGGGTCACGGGGTTGCTTCCTTCTGACGGCTGTTCCGTGCAACTTGTCTGGTGTCTGGTGGTTTGCTGGCAGTCTTTGGCTTCCTTAGCTTTTAGAAGCATCATCCCTAACCCTAACCCTCACCCTCACCCTCACCCTCACGTGGCATTTTCCCTGTGTGCGTGTCTTTGTCCAAATTTCCCCTGTTTATAAGGACACCAGTCATTGGATTAGGCCTCATCGTGATGATTTGATTTTGACTTGATTACCTGTGGAGACCCTCTATCCAAGTAAGGTCCTGTTCTGAGCTACTGGGGGTCAGGGTTTCAAGATATGAATTGGGGGAGGGGCACAGTGTTGAGCATCGTCTCATGTGCTTATTGGCCATTCTTATATCTTGTTTGAAGATACGTCTCTTCAAACCCTTTGTACATTTTTTAATTGTTTTTTTTAATTATTGTTGAACTGTAAGAGCTTATGAGATTTTGCATTTGAGAACAGAAGTGTCCAGTAAGAACTGGACGCCTTGCTAAAGTGAGGTCAGAGAGGCCTGGGTGAGAAAGGGTGCCTGGCTCTCAGCCCTGGACCTGGTGGGGACGGGCTGGCCACCTGGATCAGTGTCCTGACCTCTTCGTTTCCAGTGTTTTCTTAAATTCTGTGACTGTGGCGGCAGTTGGGGCGCCTTGTAGTTTCACAGGAAAGATGCTTGTCGCTTGCTCATTGATAGAATTTGGAGACAGAGGGTCCCAAGTAGTGACTCAGGTGGCACCTGCCTGTCAGATCCCTTGAGAGGCCACTCACCTGCACAGGCTTCTAAGATGCATTGCCTTCTCCTGGCCCTCCTGTTGGCGCCGGGCTTGCATGACTCCTTCCTGTCCCTTTTCCCAGGCTCACCATTTTCGCTGTTGTTGGTTTTTTGTTCTTACAGATGCCAGAAAAGTTCACACTGCCCCTGCTCGAGCCTTGTTCCGGTTGCGCCCCCTGCCATTTCTGGTTTTGACTGGCGGCGGCGGGTACGCAGGTTACCGGCAATATGAGAAGTATAGGGAGCAAGAGCTGGAGAAGCTGGGATTGGAGATTCCACCCAAACTCGCAGGTCACTGGGAGGTAGGAATAAGACGGAACCGCCTTGATTTCTCGTCTAGCACAACCGCCCGTCACTTTTAAATGCTCCAAAGTCGAAATGTTTGAAAAAGTGAAACGCGCCTTCTTGGAGCTCATGTCTCCAGTGGGCTCTGGCCAGATACAGGAGTTCTCTCTTCCGTCCCCGACCTCCCCAGGGCGCCCCACGGGCTCTGAGTGGAAATGGCCGGCTGCTGAAACCCTCAGAGTTCTTGCCTGATATTGGGGCCGGCATCCTGGCTGCTCACGCCTTCTCAGGCCGAGGATGAGCTAAAACAGTTGGATTTTGTGGTTAAGTTCTCACCAGAAACCAGACTGAAATAATCAAATCCTTTGTCCTTGTTGCTCAGATACTCCCCCCACTAGAGGGCCACGTGGTAGGGCCAGGCTGCGATACTGTTGACCCCGGGGGTGATGCGTAACGAGCTGCCTTATTCCTCTGTGCTTCCCGTGGCCCAGGACCATCCCTGACTCAGCAGATATTCAGTAAATGTTGAAATCGAATATAAGTGTGTACGTTTAAAAACTGCCCCCTTTGCAGCTATATTTAACAAATGAAAATACAAAATACCAATCGGTCTTGGCAGCCTGGGCGGAAGAGGGTGAAAGTGAAGACTTTACGGTGTTCGGAATGATGCCTGGGTGTCCTCGTGAGCCGCTCCGTCCACGTTGGTATCCAGCGCAGCTGGTCCAGGGCGTCTGCGAGTCCCAGCGTGCTCCTCAGGGAGCTAGGCCGTGTCACTTTCCGTCTGGGCCTTTGTGTCGTCAACTGTAAAACAGTGGGTCACCCGGCTGGAGGGGCTCGGTTGAGCGTCGCCCTGTGCACCCAGAGGGCAGGTTCAGTCCCCAGGCAGGGCAGGGACGAAGGTAGCTGATGAAAGTTTCTCCCCCCCGTGCTCTCCCCAAGCATGTCCTTGGAGGACTTGAAAACAATAATAACAGTGTTTGGATTGGCACATGACTCCAGCTCTAACGGTTTATCTAGAATTGTTGGCATTACCTGCTACATGTTCTATAGGCTTCCTCCCAAAATCCTGTTTTGGCTTTTGGTGTTGACCCTCTTCCTCCAAGAGAAGCAGTGGAATGGCTTCCCTTGAGTCCACAGTCCTGTGAAACTGCCTTCGTCAGCGGGCCACGCAGGTCATGGTGTGGCTGGACCCTGAGATGTGTCCATCTGTCCTCATGTGCCTACCGTCCACGCGCCGTGGCCTTTATAAGACCCACTCAGACCAAGAGACCGAAGGCTTTCTGTCCTCTGGCGTCCAGCGCAGATCCTCGGGGAAGGGCAGGCATCGAATGTGAGCTCACCCAGAGTCTGCTGGGCTCTCCCCAGTAAACAGACTCTTCCTGGAGAGCAGTTAGTGTTGCTGAGCTGACTCATGACTGTCCTCCGTGTTAAACCCAAGCTGCTTCGCTCTGGCCCCAGCACGTGTCAGGCTGACTCACCCTGGGCCGAGCTTGCCGCCCTCAGGAAATCCCCACTCGCTTCAAGAGGATGTACATTTGGGAGAAACTTGCTGGTTCCAAAATCATGACAGACCAGTGTCAGCAGCTGTTTTCTCAGCACCCACCATTTGCGTGCTTGGGGTTCCCGCCATACGTGAGGCAGGACCTGAAAGGGGATTGTTTGTAATGAGGGCGGGGTTGGTTAGCTCCGGGGTCCACCGGTGACCTGGTTCATGGGTCGATGCTCAACCACTGAGCCACGCCAGCCGGGCAGACTGTTTACTCTTCAGTGTCCTTGGTTACAGACGACAGGGTTTTTCGATTTACTGGATGGTTGTAAACTGCGTGGCCTTTACTCAGGACTAGGTTAGCCCTGCTGTTGCACTGCGGGGTGGCTCTCGGGGATGCCTACTCAATGCCCTGTGTTCTGTGAGCACTTCCCACCGGCCTGTGGACGTGCAGGTGTCTCCTGACCCCGGGTGAGCTGGGAATTGGCTCCCAGCTCTGGGTGTGCGGTGGAGCTCCTGGAAGTTAAGCACCTGCATGTGCATGGCTTGGTAGTGGGCAGAGCCTCTGGACCTTAGAGAACCCAGCTCCTTATTAGTACAGACACCTCCTTTCATTACCAACTAGCAGGACGCATTGCAGCAGGGGCACTTGGAGGGTTTTTGTAAATTATTGTTTTTTTAGGGTTCTGGGACCAATTCCAACATTTGCATGTGTGTTTGGGGGTGTATTTCCCACACCAGCAAACAGGCTCACACTAGCTGGGTGTCCTACAGTTCAACTCAGTTCTGACAGTATCTGCCCAGAGAGAGCGAAAGACTGGGTTAAGGGCGGGTTCTGCATCTGTGTGGCAGTTGAGATTTCAGATACACTGTCCTCTTGTCCCCATAAGTCAGAAAGCGGGAACAGAGCCTTCTTAAGTTCCTCCTAACGAGAGGGGTGAAGGTGTGGGCGCTGTACCCCTAAAGCTACTGGGTGATGCCAGGCGTGGTGACTCCCGGGTTTCTGGGAACACAGGCGATGAGCTCCATGCAGGATGCATCTGGTGACAAATTCCCCTCGGTCTCTGGCGTTTCCTATTGGTCCTTTCTTGACCTGAGGACAGGGCCATGTGGTGGGAAAGCTGGGCGATGGAAATGGGGGGCCCGTCGGGGAAGAAGCAGTCCACACAGCCCTCCTGCAAGCCACGGAGGTGCCACCAGGGAGGTGACAAGCGGGGTGGGAGGCCTGTGCTGCAGAGGGAGCTGTGGTGGCAGCCGGCCCTCGCATCAGGCGTGAGGAGCTCCCAGAACACCAGCCCCAGCCTGCAGCCTGGCACGCGGAGTGCTGGCCGCGTCCTGCCTGAGTGGCTGGGTCCTGTGACCTGTATCTGCCGTCCACGCTCGGGCAGCTTGTCCCGCCGTCTGCCTCCGTTTCCTAGCCCACTTGTCCTGGCTCACTGGGCTCAGTTTCAGGTCTGACCTTAAGTTTTCAATCCATTTTGAGTTTATTCCTGCACATGCTGCACCTTGTTCTCTTCTCATGCTGCGTGCCACCCTTCCTCAGAGCCACCAAGGGGCTCCCCTCCGCGTGAGCTGGAGAAGCCTGCGGGCTGGCAGGGCTGCTGAGAGACATTTGCAAGCACCCATCTTCCTCCCCCCTCCCGCCCGACTGGCCCCCAGGGAATGGGAATCAGCAGAGATTCCTGCCACCCTGTCCCACTGCTTCCTGGTGCCCTGGCGCTCAGTGGGGAGCTGGAGGGGAGGTCTGTCCACACGTCTTGGTGGCCAAGAGGCCTGAGGCCTGCAGAGCCTCCCAGTGGTGAGAGGTGGTACTCCCATCGCTGGAGTTGAAAGGACATGACGGACCCAGTTGGCCGGAAGGGGCTCATTCTGAGGGGAAGTAAGCTTACCACAGGCTCTAGTTTTCCCAGAAATGATCTGTCGGCTATTGTCTGGGATCCAGAAGGCGTTTCCCTACTGAAACAGGGCCCCAGGCGGTCAGGTCAGAAGGCCGGAGACTGATCCCAAGGCAAACCTGGGGCATGTTTGTGACTTTTCTGAACACCATCCCCTGAGGGGCTTTGAGTGTCACAATGAACTCTGGGAGATGGTGTGGAGCCACCTGATTGGTCATTTTACCAGGGAGCGTGTTGGTGCCTCCACTCAGCAAATGAGAAGCTGGCCTCGCTGGTCTAGGTGCTGGTCTGGGTGGGCCGTGCTGGAGGCTCCCAGGACCTTTCTGCTGTGGCGTGCGTGCGGCCAGGACTCTGGCGGCTCCTCTGTGCTTTAGCTCTTTTTGATCTCGTCACGTGGCATTTGCTTGGAGTGTTGAGGTGAGAAGGGTCTGACGCCTCAGCAGGGCTCAGAGGATGCTGGGAGCCCCGGGCTGGGCCTCAGCGTGGGTCCCCGCCCGCTGCTCCTGCTGCTGTGGGATGTCATGGACGGCCTGAGGCAGGAGCCCCCCGCCAGGTCTCCAGGTTGTCGGTTGTCGTGGAGAAGGTGCTGGTCCCAGTGAGGCCTGGTGTGGGCGGTCTGCACGCCCTGGTCAGCTACCATCTCTTCACGGCCCGGAGGCATCCTAGAAACCACATTCTCGGTGCAAGAAGCGGGGCTTGGTTTGGTTCAGGAGCCTGAGCCAGAAGAAGGCGCCTCTGAGCAGTGTGACCAGTGGGGTGGCGTGCTGCCTGCGTGGCCAGCACCCCCAGCAGCCGGGCCCCGAATCCTGCCTTGCTGTGGTCTAATGGGCGGGCTTCCTGTCAGCCCTTCCCCTGGTCGGATATGCTAAGTGCGTCATTCCATCCATGTGGACTGGTGGGCATGCGGATGTGGCGCTGGCCCCACAGGCTAGGGGTCTGCCGTCTAGTGGGTAGAAAGGCAGGTCTCACACTGTGTGTACACCTGAAACTAATCTAAAATAAGGTTGACTGTTAACTGTAATAGGAAAATAAAATAAGACATGTCCTGAGTGCTCGGCCCAGGGGCACACCTGGCCCCCTGGGCTTGTTTGCTGGTCTTCGCGGGATTTGTGGGATTGTGTACGGCAGGCGTGGCCACCCCCAGTGAACTGGAGGAGAGGAAGCGGGGGTGGGGCAGCCTGCGTCTCAGGATGTTTCACTTTCTCACTTGGAGGGCTGGACAAGGCTCCTTAGCCCAGAGAAGTCACAGGCACCTGAAGGCCCAGCCTGCCCACAGGGGTGGGAATGGGGAGGGGGGTCAGGGAGGCAGCTGCCCAGACGACCAGCCCCTGCTGGGGCCTGCGGCTCCCAACCTGCCGTGTCTCTGGGGAAGTGCCCGGACTGTGATCCAGGGTGCTGGTCTCCTCTTCCCCTTGAAGGGCCCCTGGGCAGGCGGGGCTGGGCCGGGAGGCGGAGCACAGCTCCCCGGTGTCTGGTATCCGCCCTTCTGTCCCGTCCCACTGTCTGAGTGGCTGGAGGCTGAGCCCCGCCCGCCAACCCAAGGCTTTGGCGGAGGAGCGGCGTCTCTGTCTCCCTTGTCGGGTGCAGCCCGGAAGCCAGCGGGACAGGACCACCTGCCGGTGAGTGAGCGGGGCTC